TTCCAGGGACGGACGCAGTGGTACGTCTTGGGATCAAACGTAAGCATACGATGCTTGGACTTGTGAACTTTGCCTTTCAGCTTACTGCCGTCAGGCGTGCGAACAGAAGCATAATCTTTGTTCTCCCTGCTGATTTCCTCATCATGAATCCAAAGTTCGCCTCCCTCGAAGTCACCCAAACACATAGTGTTATTCTTATGTTCACGATGATTGTGAGCATCTTTGTGCACCTTGACGCTGGACCCGTGATTAATGCACAGTGAAGAGCTGGGGCCCTTGGCACCATGATGTTTCAGATACTCATTGAGGAACTTCATTAGCTCCTTATTTTGGTGACTGCGGTTAGTGATGCCTTGCATCCCGCCGTGTGAGAAGGCTCCGAGCACAACATACTCGGACTTCTTAGAGGACTTTGGGTCCTTGGCGATGATAGACCTCTGCTTCTTAGAGGCCTTGAAAGCTACCTTGTTTAACAAGGAGTAACATGATGCATGTGAGAAGTCGCCAGACTCTCGAAGCTTCTTTGCGATAGCCTCGGATGATTCTTCCGGCGCTGGCCTTCCGGCCGCGGAGGGGCTTTCAATGATCTGCGTCTTACCAGGACCGGACGAGGCCCGACGCGCAGGGACGCTGATGTTTTCATGCCAGGATTTCAAGTACGGCACGTTATCTTTAACGTCCATATAGACCTTCTTCCCTTCGGGAGTCTTAAGGTACGGTCGTGAATTAGCCCTCCAGATGAAATCGAATCCCTCTTCCATGCATCGCTGTCCTATTGAAAGGACAGATGGGGTATCAGGAAGAACATATGGTTTGACCTCAATCCCAATGGAGTCAACAGAAACATCACACTGTTCTGAAGCGGAGTTTGGCCCATTTGCAGTCATCATTTGAATGGGCGCAGGTGACTCGTAGGCCTTAGCCTGCCCAAGCTCCCGCTGGGCGATGAGATCTTGCGCACTGCCAGTATCAGCAATCCATTCGATGCACAGACACGGCGATTTGCTGCTGGCGGGTGCGGCACAGTTGAACTTCAAACCAACCGGGATGCAATGTTTGCATCCAAACTCAGTGTTGCACTTGAACTTACACTGCGGTCTACAGCCCTTGACCTCATCACTGACAACAGCTTGCAACATCTTAGCGGTTACCTGAGCTTCCTTCACGGAATCAGGATCGGCTTTCCAATGGCTGTTGGCGGGATATACTTGGCTATACTCCCTTGGCTTATTGCGATCATCGAGGGGGTAGAGGCCATTCCCTTTCGGAATTTGGTACGTGAAACTTTCAGTAGTGTCATTGAACGACACTGCGGCCAGTGCGACATGATAGTGCGGGGTGCAAACATCGACATTGCTCAACATATCCTTCCGGAACGTGAATGCATCGGCTTGGGCTGCTGAGCCAGCCAACATTGCTCCCAATAAGCAAACTGCAGCGGGAACGGAGGGCGCACCACCCTTGCGACCTGAGCCACGCGAACCCTTCGAGCCTTGGCTAGACTTACTTGATTTTCGGCTGCCGCTCTTTGAAGAGCTCTTGGAGCTAGACCTGGAGCCTTTGCGGCCCTTACCACTTTTCTTCTCTTTCTTCTTGTGCTTCTTTTCCTTCTTCTCGCCGCTGCTCGCTCGTGCACCTGAGCTGCCCGGGGCGGCTGCAGCAGGTTGGCCGTTGTGGAGGAAGTTACACTTGTCTCCACGGTTGCAAACTCCTTGCTTAAAGAATTTGCATTCCTGCTTTTTGCCTTTACCTTTCCCTCCCGGGCTAGGGGTCCTAGTAGGCGTACGACCTCCGGCAGGAGTGTGAGAACGCCCCCTAGGTTGTTGGTGCTTGTACGGGCAATTGTCTCTCTTGCAACTTCCGGTCTTGACCCAATCAACGCAATACCCTTTGGGAATACGCTTGGGGGCCGGTGCGGCAGCAGGCGCAGTAGGTACACCTGTTTGCCGAGCAATGCGCTCGCGGTTCTTCTGCAATCGCTTGCGTTTCAAATGATTAGCAACCGCGTTATACAGGAACTGATAGGACCTTTGCTCGCTACCTTCCAGTGCGCGTTCATAGACCTGGATGTCGTGATCGATATCCTTGCACTTCTTCACCTGTCTATGGAACAGGGGTTCAAGCACGCTGTTGTCTGGAGGATTGGGAATCCCTGATAGCACCGTATCCCAGTTTCTAATGAAGGTGGTGAGGTTTTCGTTGACCATGATGCAATTCATCAGGTCCTCCATGTCATACACAGATCCATGGAGTGCATTGGTAGCAAAGTGGTTGTGAAGACGACACAGCAACTGTCTTCCTCTCACCAGCCTTCCGGCGTGAGCTTCGGTCTCCTTGAAGGTATCAGTCTGCCTAGCGAAATCACCCTCAAGGATATTGGTGAGCCCAGAAAGGATCTTGGCATCCAAGGTGCTAAACCCCTCCGGGTCGCGAAGCTCTTTCTCGTCGGCGTCCTTCTCCCAGACCTTACTGAGCCAGGCGTGCGCCTTGTCAGGCGAATCCGATGCAGCGACAATGGCTTCACGGACCCTTATGCGCCAGTTTCTATACTGCTCAGGCTGGGGAAACTTGGGAAACACGACTTTCTCAGCCTCTTTAACCTTGGGTTTGGTACTCGAGGAACCCTTTTCTTCATCATCATCCTCTTTATCAGACTTCTTAGATTTCACCATCTTCTTGAGCATCTTCAGAAGGATCTTGTTGTCGATGGAAGAAGACGATGAATCTGACGATTCATCTTTCTTGTGCTTTTTGGATTTCTTGCTCTTTTTCTCCTTCTTACCGCTCTTTTCAGGCGCTTCAAGTGGTTCGCCAGGAGGAGTATGGATCGGAAAGGGTCCTAGACCAGGAGGCCCGGCCTGTTCCGGTTCATTGCCCAATGGGTCAGCTTTGGCTCCCGCCAAGCGTGTTCTTAGCTCGGCATTGTCCTTTTGCAGCATCTCCATGTTGAGGGCTTGAATCCTCATCATCTCTTGCATCTCACCTTTGAGGCGAGAGAGCTCGTTGTCACGAGCTGACACGTCGGCTTGATTAGCCTGCAACCTTCGATTAGCCTCGGTTTCCACCTGGGCGACAACATTCGCAGCTGTCTGTTCAGCGGATAGGAGGCGCTGCCTTAGCTGCTCAGCTTCAGCAGCGGCTGTTTCAGCCTCAATTTGGTACTGGGCTACGGCCTGCCGACCAGCATGGATGTTTTGATTAGCCTGTTCTTCAAAGGCTCTGGCTTTTGACTGCAACTGTGCATGCTCAAGCCTCAGCTGAGCGACTTGACTCATGGCACCTGTTTCCAAAGCGAGAATTTGCTCCCTGTTTTCGCTTTGGATGTTGCGAACGGCTTCTGCATGTCTTGCATTTGCTGTATCCATAATCAGTGCAGGATCCGCACTGATCAGAACGTTTTGCTGATGCTGATACAACTGACTCACGACAGTTGGAACGGAGGTGTGCGATGGAGGCACCGGAGAATAGCCTACGACTGTGGGTGAGGGCTGATGTGTCAGCGACGCTCGTGATGGCACGTATGCTGGTTGAGGTCCAAGGGACCCAACATGCGAACGTAGCGTCTGCTCAGTGAGAGCTACCCGACCCTCCCGGGCGGTGACAACCGGAAGCTCTGCGCCCAGATTCGATCTCGAGCGGGCGGACTCCGTGTCGTCATCACCTAGTTCGGAGATAGGCACACCTGCAGGATTTGTGGGAGCTGTGGTGTCCATTGCACTACGAAGAGCTATACAAGCTACGGCTGATAACCTATTGTTAACAGCAGGACGCACGAATCCTTTTTCATACTTGAGCCATACGGTAGCGTAGGTAAGACACTAGGACAAACGTACAATGAGATTAAAAACAAAGATCCTAAAAGGTAACCCCAAAGAAGGAACTACAATGGAGACTATAGGTAGCTTGATTTCGTTTCTGACCCACAGTTTCATTGCCAAGCGCTGTGTGCACAAACTCTACTGACAAGATGCGAACACCCTAAACATGGTGCACCCAGGTTTCTAAATCCCGGTCTCTAGTCACTTTAGTCCGCAGCTCGGAAACCAATTAAGGCGTTGTGCTGCGGATGCCACTGCGACGTCCACTGGTGCTTGACTTGAACAGGTAGGGTTATAGCCGCATTCCTTTTCCTGCTCACCAGGCCAGTAATATGAGTCATCGCATTCGAGACACCCAAGATACAAGGAATGATTGAGCCTCACGATGTTCAAAGCACCATCACCATCACCATCACCATCATCGTCATCAGCCCATCGTCATGGCCGTCGTCCTCATCGGCACAAACATCGTCACCAACGATCGCCATCATCGTCGTCAGTCCTGGACGGCATGGTCGTCGTCGCAGTCATCATGGCCAAAAACATCATTGGTGCAATCGCATATATATATATATATATATCATCAACAACAGCAACATCATCGTCGTCGTCACAATCACCGTCCTCATCATCATCATCATCGCCACCATCATAGTCACAGTCATCACCATCATAGCTATCATGATCGTCGTCGTCTTCGTGGTCAACACCATCCAAATCCGAGTAGGCAGGCAGGCACCGATCCACCTTTTGTGATGTTGTGTCGCTCATGACGTAGCTTTAACGTCTTGTGCTACAAACGACACGCCAAAACTGTACGTAATAAGGCTTGGGGAGACACCGTAAGAGTAAGAGTAGGTGACGGCAGCTTGCAGCTTCTATGACTCTATGTATGGCGACTTGAAGTACCGTCGCCCGTGACACCACTAAACAAACATCAGCAAGAACAGCACCAGCACCAACAACGACACAACTAACAACAAAACCAGCGGCACGGCAACAGAAACAGCAACAACAATGACAACACCACCAGGAGCAGCAGCAGCAACCACAACAACAGACAAAACCGAGAACAACTACAACCAGCAAACCATCAGCACCACCCCCAGCACTAACTCTTTCACATATGCAGGCCAAGCGCATGATCCCTATAATTACCATGCGCTCTGGACGGTATCCAGTTCAAATCGAGGTGCTAAGCATCACAAAGATCAAGCTGAACTCCATGGATGCGACTTGTGTTTCGAACTGATCTTGAAAGAACTGCGTGATCTGACTCAGCTTTCCTGCATCTGGAGAGTTATAGGGCTTTAGGCTTTAGTGTTTGGGTTCGGGCTTGAGGGTCTAGGATGTAGGGTTCCGGGCTTTGGGCCCTTTTTTCTTTTTGGGGCCTTTGTGGGTTTGGACTTTCGGCTTTCTATCTGAGGTCCTCGAGGCTTCGGCGGCTTCGGTGATATCTATACACACTTACAGATAGGTGGCTGTCAATATTGGGGTCCCTTTTTGGGGTCCTTATTATCGTACGGCACCGAATATTTAGGGTACCCCCCAACAGGGGCCATAATTTTGACGACCCAGATCAATCTGGTCTTCTGTCCTTATAGGGACGGGAAGCTGCTTTGCCAATACTCTTATTCTGGAAGCATACAGTATGCCGAAGGGCTGTACAACCGGAAGACTCAGAGCCGTTAGAAGCCCCCCGAAGCGAGGCACTGTTTGCAGGTCCCATCCCACCGCCTGAATATATTTGGATAAAGACAACCATGCTGCGCTTGCGGTGTGGGCTTTCGCATTTAGGGTTGGTCCGTGCAGCTTTCAAACCAACTGCAATACCAACAGTCTCGATCCCAATGCCAGGAAGGTCGGCTTGCAAGGACACAAAAGTCAACCTATTCATCGGAGGAGGGCCTTGGAACAGGATTCGGGATGTTGGCTCAGGAGACAGGGATGGGGGGGAGCTTGAGGTGTAAAACCTGAGGATGTGTAGGACGTGTCGGTCTTGCATGTAGAGCTGTGAGAATGGGTGCTTCTGAACGCAAGGATCTCCTATCTGAATAGTAGAAACTTGAGCACTTTACCCAGAGGCCCCAAAGTAGTTCCTTTTGGGGGATTCATATATAGAATCCTATAAGGTAATCCCAAAAAGGAACTACTATGGGGCCTCTGGGTACACACTTCTACAGAACCCTAAAAAATCGCAAGAAAAAAAACAATCGGAGCAAACACCGGCCCCAATGCAACGACGCCGGAGTAGAGAAAACATCTGGGAGTTTCCGAAAATAGGGGGCCCTAATATAGTAGCCTAAATTTTAGGATCCTGACAATAAGGACCCCAAAATAAGGTACCCCTAATTTTCGGAAACTCCCATCTCTGGATTCCGGCTCCCAGTCTGTCCAAGCGAGACTCCGAGTCTGAGAACTCGCATAACCTGAATTTTAGGATTTTAGGGCTTTAGGGGTTTAGGGTTTAGGGTTTAGGGTTTAGGGTTTAGGGTTTAGGGTTTAGGGTTTAGGGCTTTAGGGTTTAGGGTTTAGGGTTTAGGGTTTAGGGTTTAGGGTTTAGTTGTTTTTTGTTTTTGCGCCTCTTTTCCTCCTCAGGGTTTTAGGGTTCAGGATTTGATTTAGGGTTTAGGGTTTAGGGTTCAAGTTTAAGGCTTGAATCTTACTTCTGGGGGGCCAGAAGGGTGGTTTAAGATTCTTGGGGTAGGGATTCCTTAATATGAACTCCAGTCTGGGAACTCTCATCCCTACTAAACCCCCATAGGCTATAGCCCCTTTTGGCCTCCTATGACTTACCTTTGGCTAGTACGGAATGGAAGAACGGTAGTAACAGTAGCTAGAATTGTAACCAAAGGTAAGTGAAGGGCTGAGGGCGTTCAGAAAATCCCGACGATTACCCTCACATAATGTACACTTTCTTGATGGACTTATATTAAGATTTCACAAAACGGAGCCCGAAAAATGGAGGTTCCTTAGGGTCCAGCTAAGGGTTTTGGGCGGTTTAGATTTTGGGGTCGAGGGCTTTAGTTTTCGGGCTTGAGGGTTGAGGGCTTGAGGGTCTTGGGGTTGAAGGGTGGCCTTCAGGGGCTCTTAGGGTTTAGGGGCCAGAACATTCATGCAAGGGTCTGCATAGTCCGAGCAGGGCATTCGGGCTTGAATAGGCTTTCATGCTTCTAAGGAATGGTGTTTCTTTTGGCTCAGGACAGGACCCTAGATTTAGTCAGAGAGGGCTTGTACAGGTCTATAAAGGAGGCGGAATTGGACTTGGCACAGGGCTAAAGGGCACTTCTTTACCAAGTATTCAGACATCTCTATACTCGGACGCCGGTCGATCGCGCAACCTCGTGCGGTCATTGCTGCCTGTAAGTGCAAAAGAACTGATCAGAACTTACCTGAACATGGATACACTGCCTGAGTGATCTGATCAGACCTCTCTATCATAGCAAAGTCTTCCTAAACTTTAGACTCTAGACACTACTAGGACCCCAAGCAGGGGATTACCTCCAATCCGAAAATGCAAGGAATAAAAAATCCGAGCCGCTCGTAGAAATCGAAGGAAGCGTGTAGTTGTTGCAGACTCGCCTACCGTGTCATCTACGGCACCGAACTCCAGCACGATGTCCTGGCGGGTCGTGCATGTTGGTCATGACGATTCAGGACACCGTTTTGAACATTTCATCGCGCTTGTGCGGCAGAAAAACCCACACCCTTACACTCTACAACAACTAAGGATCAAAACATCCAACCACAAAGCTCTTAACTATGCATTAGCTACATGCGGTTACATACGTCTTCCACGAAAGCAAAGTCATGCAGGGAGAGGCTCCTTTCGAAAGCCTCCTAATCACAGGCTGAAACATGTGTCGGAAAGCTTTATAGTTTAGGGTGTAGGGGTCGGTATAGTACAACAAGGTAGAATGCTGAACCTAAAGCTTTCCGACAGCGTTGGTGTTCATATGTCAAGGGTTCACGTGAATATAGTTGCAAGATCATGCTTTTGGCGATTTCGACGTGGAATGCTTGAAAATGTGGGCCTCAGAACCAACTAGCTCCTCAACTCACGACCCCGAACCCCAACTTCAAAAACCCCTCAACCTCACGCCTTGCAGGTGCTTCTGAAAATGCTTTCTACAGGGCTTAGGGATTTGACTGGGTAAATTGGGCGATTCGCAAGGATGTATTGCAACCCGGAGTCTGTTTGATTCATGACCGATATTTCCTTTTGTTCGGGCTGAGTGCTGAAGTTCAGAACGCGCTTCTGCACACGCGATGAGTTCGGAACGCTAAACGCGAACGCTCCCTGAACGCACGCTCAGGGGTCACTAAGCATGCGATTAATGGGCCCGGGTCGTGAGGAAGCCGAAAACATGAAGCCTTCAATTTGGATTGACTCACCAGACAAAATCAGCTAAGGAAGCCCAAGGATCAAGGCGAAAAACACGGCATCGGCTTGTACAGTCGCTTAAGCGTTGCAGGTTGCGGTTTGAGCTCGATGTGGCTTTTTATGTGCTGAAGAACTCTATTGAGGGTTCAAGTTCAAGATTTAGATGTTGATTCTTGCACCCCGGTCCATGGCGGTGACGCCGACGTCGATGAAAAACCATGTCTGCAAGTAATGCCGGCAAATCTTCCGACGGTCAGTAATGAGATGTCCCTTGTGGAGCAGACCGGTCACGAAGCCGAGGAAGATGTCCACAACCCAATATACCTTGGCTTGCCCTTTCTTTGGACTGTGTACAGCTTAGATTAGTGGGTGTGGAATGGTAAACCCTAAGGGTCCATGTACTCATATAGCATATACATTGGCCTTAATGTAATCCCTATTTAGGTACTTTGGGGGCCAAGTTTTTGCTATATGATTACATGGACCCTTAGGTAAAGCTACTTATTCAGGATTGCAAACGAAGGCCTGCTACAACTACCCTGGTCTTCTAGGGAATGACAACTCCGCCAACTCATATATAACCCTAGTCACAGAGGCTGAGGACTTTGGACCTACAACAAACCAACCCTAAACCCTAAACCCCTAAACCCTAAACCTACCACTTTAGGAACCTGCTGCAGAAACCTCTGGTACCATATGGATTCGTGTTCAGGAACCTGGGCTTTCCTCGCAGGCAGCTACATTAGGCCGAAGTCTACGTGTGTATACATACATATATATATATATATATATATATGTATGTAATCAACTATGATTATACATGTATTATATATGTATATATATATATATATACATACATATATATATATATGTATATGTATATGTATATGTATATGCATATGTGTATGTATATGTATATGTATATGTATATGTATATGTATATGTATACGTATGTGTATATGTATATGTATACGTATATGTATATGTATATGTATATGTACATGTACATGTACATGTACATGTACATGTATATGTATATGTATATGTACACACACGTAATAAAACCTATATGCATGCATTTACGTCATCTGCAGTCGGTATGTTTGAACATCACAGAGTCCAGGACTCAATGAAATCTTTCTTCCAGTGAAAACCCCTCGACCAAATTGAGTCTGGGTTCCAAGGCCAGAGCATTGACGACATTGTAAGTCGTGAAAACCTTGCGCATTCCGGGGCTCAGAGATTCCGGGTTGAGTGCCTAGGTGCGAAGGGGACTCTACTTTCAGGGTTTAGGGGCTGCGAGCTTCGGGGTCTAGGGGTTTGGGAGGGTTTGGGGTATGGTGTGTAGAGTACAAGGTATTCTGCTTGGGACCAGGGTATAGGGCATACGGCAAGGGGTGAAGTAGGGTACGGTATAGACTATAGAGTTCAGGATGAGGGTGTTAGGGGCAAGCCGGTGCCTGCGACTACAAATTTTGGGGTCTGGGCGGTGCGTGTAAGCTTTCGGATAAGGATTCGTGGGGCTTGGGGCATGGAGTTTGGGGTGTGGGTTTAGTGCCTTGAATGGGGTTTTTCGAGATTTGAGGTCAGGGAGTGCAGGGGTTCGAATTAAGACTTGGGAGGTTCGGGTGGGGTAACCTAACCTTGTTTTGTTTCGATGCTTTATTGCTGCGACATATGCCCTAGCCCCACCTTAAGCCCTGAACTTAAGCCTTACACTCCTCTAACGAAAAAGCCCAGTTACTTCTACACAGAGTAACCAATACGGCTGTAGAGGTCGATTGAGATGTAACGTAATATTAGGGCTTAGTCTAGATTGGCGTTTGGACATAAGGTTTAGTACAGCTTGAACCTAACAAGTTTTCCGTTCAAGTCTGTCACGGACACGCCTCAACCCGACAAGTGGTCGGCTCGATCTGCTTGCAATGGGCAAGCTTGAACAAAACAAGTTATGTATCATTCTAATAAATGGAATTAGCATTGGTGTTGCTATGCACCGACTACTTGGTGAGCAAGTAGGCTATCGTTGGCATGGGATTCTCGGGGTTTGTACGTTTTTGTCTCGGTCAAAGCTCTAAACCCTAGCCTCTACAAACCAAAACCCTAAAACTCATTGCTAGTCTAGTGAACAAACCCTTCGCCGAGAGAATCGTAAGCCCAAAACCCTAGCAGATCGAACCTCTTATTACAGAACCTTTACCGAACCTTCTAGAACCGTAAACACTTAATAATTGCCTCTATTCCTCTATTCCGGTATTGTAACCACCCCAATTGCAATTGTCAAGGCCATGATACAAAACCCTTACCCCAAACACTGCAAGGAATCCCCTCAAGCAGCCCAAATCTACTTATTGAGGCCCTTGTATTGGGGTCTACGTTTTGGGATCTGGGGTGTAGCATCCCCCCCCTAAACCCTAAACCCTAAACCCTATATCCCCTAAACCCCTAAACCCTAAACCATGCCCTCCCTCAAATCCAGCCGACACCAGCCTGAAGGTTCACGTTCACAAGCTGAAGAGGAATGGCAATGACATCCTTCACCTGTGGGGTTCTCAAAATTATGGTCCCTAACTGGGTACCCTAAATATTAGGTGCCGTATTATACTAGGGACCCCAAAACGGGACCATAATTTTGATAAAACCACCCTGTGGGGTGTTGTTGACGGTTGGGGTTCAAGGTTCGGGGTTTAGGGTTTATGGCACATGGGTAAAGTTCCGAGTTTGGGGGCTTAGGGTTCGGAGAGGTACGCAGCTTATGTCACCACAGCTTTTGGGTTTGATAGGGATTTCGGGGCAAGCACACGAACCTAAGCAACCAATACAAGATAAGGAACACAGATGGCATACATGATTCACGCCCAAACCCTGAGCCCTGCCATCCAAAACGAAGGTCCTTAGCAAGAGCCCAGAAGATAGAAACCACAACAGCTGCCTAGCCTAGCAAGGAGCCATAATGCCAGTGCTACAGCTACGACATGCATGCTACATGCAGGCTCCATGCAAGCTCCATGCTACATGCATGCTACTACATGCTACGGCACGCTGCTGCTGCTACTGCTGACGCTACTGGATGTCATGCGGGGTCTTGAAAAGAAGCCGATATCTGAAGCCCTGAACCCTAAAGCCCTAACGGCTGAAACCCGAACGCCCTACACCCCTAAAGCCCAACGCCCTGGAACCCTTAAAGCAAGCCTTAATATCACTTATAAAGATGACTTAAAGGAACCCTAAACCCTAAACCTTAAACCCCTAAGCCCTAAACCCCTAAACCCTAAACCCTAAACCCCTAAACCCTAAACCCCTAAACCCCTAAACCCTTCAAAGGAGCCCTTAAGAGGAGCCGAGGTCACTAGGAAGCAGAGGCCGAGAAGGTCCCAGAAGCTGCGGAAGTTTCCAGTCGGATTGAGATGGAAGCTCCTTGGATTCGGGTTTGGGGTTTTAGGGGTGTTAGTGGTTTTAGGGTTTTGGAGGTTTTTAAGGTTTTTTTGGCTTTAGGGGTATAGGGGTTTAGGGTTTAGGGGTTTAGGAGATGGAAGCTCCTTGGATTCGGGTTTCTTGCCTTTGGTTAGTAAGGAATGGAAGAATGGTAGTAATAGTAGCCATACTTGCGGTTTAGGAGATGGAAGCTCCTTATTGGGGTCGGCTTTGGGATATGGGGCTTTAGGGCTTTTAGGGCTTTAGAGGTTTAGAGGTTTAGGGTTTAGGGGGTTGAGGCTTAAAGGGCTTACGGTAGGGCTTCAGGGTTTACAGTTTTGTTCAGGGGTTTAGGGCTTTAGCTGATGCAAAGCCAAGGGTTGAGGTTTCTTTGGATTTAAGGTATCGGTTATAGGCAATCACAAGAAGAAGTTAAGACCATGCTGGAGGCTCGGGGTATAAGGAGATCAAGTTCCACAAACCCTGCAACGCCCAAAGCCTCAACCCTACAGCCATCACCCCAACCCTTCTTGTCCAAACCATCAGGAAGCAGCATGCGAGCAGGAATTTAAATGCAACGAAGACCATATGGGAGTTTTCGAAAATTAGGGGTACCTTCTTTGGGGGTCCTTATATAAGGATCCTACTATTTGGGGTACTATATTAGGGTCCCCTATTTTCGGAAACTCCCATATAGTAACGGGGTTTGGTTTAGGGTTTAGGGTATTAATCGTCATCTACCTTATCCAGCTCCTTCTCCTACGATGTCAGGTTCGCAAAAAGGCCGGGCAAGTTTACGAACACGGCTCCGCGGCTTGAAGCTTCGTTTGGTGGCGGGCTTTAAGGTTCAGTTCCATGCTGCTCGATAGTTTCAGGGCAGCATGTTAACAGGGTTCCTATGCTACTTCGAGTTGAAGCCCGATCGGAACATTCCTTCCAAATGCAGACGACTCACCGCAAGGAAAAAGGCCTCTGGGCGCCGTCCTTTGCAAGGAGCCCGGCATAAGACGCCTCAACCTTAAACCCAAAACCCACCAAGACGGTGCAGGCCACATAAGTCAGTTGAAGGCCTCCCGTACGGTGGAGCGAGAGTTTTTATGGTTTAGGGTTTTAGGGTTTTTGGGTTTAGAGGGTTTAGGCTTAAAGGATACAAATTTAGGGTTTCAGGTTTAGGGTTTGTGGCGAGTGTTCGGGTATGGATTTACGTGTCTTGCGGGCTGAAGGTTGAACAGACTCAAGAAAGTCAGTCAGGGCCTTGTGCGTGTTTGGATTTGGGCCGGCTTGTCTACGACTTGGGACCTTCTCGTATCAGTCCGAGTCGCAAGGACCCCACACTGGACATCCCAATTCCCAAAACATCAGCGGCCTAAAAAAGGAAAACTCTAAACCCCGAACGAAACGAAAACTCGAATGGCAAGCCTTAAAACAAGTCTGCGATCTGAGAGCCTGAACTTTGAACCATGTGGTCCAGAGCCCGCATGAACCTCTTAAAGTACGCACGAACCCAGGGTCTCTCTGGGTATGACCAATGAAATAGAAACCTCAATATCTAGGTTTCTGTGTCTTTTCTCCTACTATTTGTGTGTAATACGGGGCCCCTTTAAAAAGGCAGAAGGGTACTACCCAGGATCCTCAATACTAGCAACCCACATCTATTTTTCCACGATCGCCAACACCGCCCCGCCCCCAAACCCTAAACCCTAAACCCCAAACCCTAAACCCTAGACCGTACAAAGGCTTTGTTATGTCGGTCCCTGAGTCCTTGTAGTCGTTCGAAGTTTGAAGCAAATCCATCGCCTTTGAAGACGTGGTGGTGGCCGCTTGCAGGCCTGGAAACAACAAAAGGTGGTGTGCCGGATCAGTACAGTATGAGTCATATAAGTCTTAGGTTTCGAGCTTAGCTGCAGGGACCATGCAATAATCACAGAAAGCGGGGTTGGAGTGCAATTGTCACGGGGTCGTAGAAAACCCTGACTATTCCTATTCCTACCGGGGGGAGGGGGAGGGCTTGTGGACTTCTTGGTTGGGTAAAGGTCAGGTTAAGATGAAGTTCACGATAACAAGGCTGGAAGGGGGTGGCCCTAAACCCTAAACCCTAAACTTAAACCCTAAACCCTAAAGGTGGGGACCGGAGGAGGGGGTGTATCTGTGCTCCAGCTTTACACAAAAGGCCAGCAAGTCAGCGGATGCCCATGGCCCTCAGGGTGAGAATTTGACTGGGTTTGGGGTTCAGGGTTTTCTTACATTCTCTTTTTTGTTTCGCATGGTGTTTCCAGTCTTGCAGCTGGCAGTGTTTGGGTTTAAAGTAAAAGCCAGAAAGTTGGAATATCATTATCCTAAACCCTGTATGGTTAATTATAGGGTATCCTACCCTGAAACCATATTCCAACTTTCTGGAGTTCCCTCTATATCCGAGGACTGGCTTGCTGGTCTCGAGTCGATCATGTCGGGCTGGACGGGGTGGAAAGGAATCGAACTGGGACCAAATCCTGCGTTACCTTAATGACCCTAAACTATGGGAATTATGGTATATTCCTTATTATGGGTAATGCAGGATTTGTATCATCAACCGTGGCCTACCCAACTTCGCCCGAACCCAGCCGCAGTGGCACAACCCTTGCGAGTTTGACACAAGTCGGTTCTCTGCACCCCAACACTCGGAAGCATCCCGGCCCTGCAAAAGCTCGATGGACAACGTTCCCCCACGACCTTAACTCTCACAAAAACACCCACGAGACCCAAAGCTCTGAACCCTCAACGCTAAACCCAAAACTCCCCCTCTAAGAGGTGGGCTCTTTCGTCGACTGATGGTCGGCTGTTTGTTTTTCACCAGCCAACATCGACCTCAGCCAGGGCTGTAGCTTAGGGAAGCCCTCAGCCCTGAACATCAACGGCTAAACCCCAAATCCCAGACCCCGAAAGTCCTACACCGAAACTGGCCCTACCTACAGTCTCCATTGTAGTTCCGCATAGATAATGATTAAGCCACCAGATTACACTGGAATATCACAGTCCCGACTGAGGGGTGGAGAAATCGAGATTTACATGATGATCTGTTGGGCTCTCAGGCGTTTTTGACGTTGATTTGGGCAGTTTCCGAAAATAGGGGAATGTAATATAGTACCCTAAATAGTAGGATCCTTAGTATTGGGACCCCCACATAAGGTATCCCTTATTTTCGGAAACTCCCAATTTGGGAGTAGGATGATGCGTACAAGGACTGGCGACCGCGGATTGCTCCGACTTCGGCTCCTGTTTCGCATTCGCAGAACAGCCGTTCAACTTCAAAACGGTAGTAAGTTAGAACTACGTCCCGGGCCCCAAGACCTGAAAGCCTAAATTCGACCAACCCATATGGGTGGTTGTCAAAATTATGGTACCTTTGTTGGTGCCACAATTTTTACAACCACCCATATGGTAGTTTCCGAAAATAGGGGACCCTCATATAGTACCCCTAAATAGAAGGATCCTTATTATACGGACCCCAAAATAAGGTACCCCTAAATTTTCGGAAACTCCCATATAACTACCAAGACCTTCAACACAAGATCTGCCCCAACACCGACCTTAGGCCCTTGCAAATTAGGGTTTAGGGTTTAGGGTTTAGGGGTTTAGGGTTTAGGGTTTAGGGGTTTAGGGTTTAGGGTTTAGGGGTTTAGGGTTTAGGGTTTAGGGGTTTAGGGTTTAGGGTTTAGTTTGAGGTTTATGGCACTGCGACCATGGGGGGACTACCTGGACCCCAAAGGTATGTAGAATAATAGCCTTTGATGGGTATTGGGCCATTATCTTACCTACTTGGGTGGGTTTAGGTATAAAGCAAGATACTGCTACTAGTTAGTCAGGGGCTATAGCAGAAGGGCCCTGCGAAGTCAAGGCGAGTGGCGAGGCGTAAAGCTAGCGCTCACCATGCTGGATCCTGGATTCGATGCTTAGTGTGTAAAGAGTTTAGGGTTTAGGGTTTAGTTTAGGTTGCCCGTCCGGGGCGATACCCCTAGTAGCCGAAGATTCCTCTTAAATGTTTGAACATGTTGCAGTTCGGCTTAGAAGTATGTCCCGGCCCCACGTAGGCCCTCTAAGATTCTCAGGTATGTTTTTCCATGAGGGGTATTCTGCTCTCTGGGTGATGTGGATTTTGGAGGACTTGGGGTATGTTCAGATCCCTTCGGCTCGGATATTCAGGGATCTTGCTCCTAAGGTTAGGCTTAGGCATTTCGGGTCTCAGGTATATGGCTGGGAGTGTTACGAGATTGGGGACGAAGGTTGACCGACACATGCAATTTCTTGAGAGAATCTTGCAGCGCTACCTATAGTCTCCATTGTAGTTCCTTTTTGGGGTTACCTTATAGGTTTCTTAATATATAATTGGTTAAACCAAGCAAAGGAACTACAATGGAGACTATAGGTAAATCCTAAACCTGCGTTGACGACACTGACCAAACCCATTCGGCAGAACAAATGTTAACCAGCTTTAGGAAGTCTTAAGTCCTAGACACAAGCACTGCAAACGGAAACTCAAAAGCCCAAGAACAAAGGAAACGCACGTGCCCACAACATAAATCCCTCAACAAAGTAGAAACGCCACCGAAACGATGCACAAACGCCAAAAACCCTAAACCCGAAACCCCTAAACCCTAAACCCCTAAATCAGGGAATACGTCTGGTGTTTACGGCGGAGGTGTTCTCAGTAAATAAGAGGATGCGTCCGCGATGTGACTGTTTCGGGAGCAGCTGGGGAGAGCTTGGGGAGTGGGTTGGGAGTTATGTAGTTGGGAGCAGCTGGGGAGTGGGTTGGGAGCACTAAAGAAGATAGCTGCTGAAGCCGGCACTTGGGCCCCTCCCGAAGCCGACCCGGATTCTTAAGGAAGCCCGAACCACCCTCCCGAAGACGACCCGACCATTCAGAGAAATCCGCCCAGTTTGCAGAGCGAATTTGGCTTTAGGTGGGTTGGAGAGGTTTGGGAGGGGGGTTTGAAGAGTTGGGAGAGGGTTGGGATGGGAGAGGGTTGGGAGGGAGAGGGTTGGGGGGTTGGGAGAGGGTTGGAGAGGGTTGGGAGGAGGTTGGGAGTGGGTTGGGAGGAGGTTGGGAGTGGGTTGGGAGGAGGTTGGGAGTGGGTTGGGAAGAGGTTGGGAGTGGGTTGGGAGGAGGTTGGGAGTGGGTTGGGAGGAGGTTGGGAGTGGGTTGTTGGAGGTTGGGAGTGGGTTGGGAGGAGGTTGGGAGTGGGTTGGGAGGAGGTTGGGAGTGGGTTGGGAGGGGCGTGGGTTGGGAGGGGCGTGGGTTGGGAGGAGGTTGGGAGTGGAGGTTGGGAGTGGAGGTTGGGAGTGGGTTGGGAGGAGGTTGGGAGTGTGTTGGGAGTGGGTGGGAGGGTTGGGAGAGGGTTGGGAGAGGGATGGCACCCAACACCATGCTTACGAAGACGACCCAGAAAGCTGTGACCGAACACCACACTTACGAAGACGACCAAGCAAACATACATACCCCAACACCCTTTCTTATATAGTGAGAACACCTACTTTGTAGACACCAGAAACATGCGTGGACTAAACCCTAAACCCCTAAACCCCTAAACCCTAAACCCCTATAAACCCTAAACCCCTAAACCCTAAACCCCTAAACCCCTAAACCCCTAAACCCTAAACCCTAAACCCCTAAACCCATAAACCCTAAACCCTAAACCCTAAACCTCTAAACCCATAAACCCTAAACCCCTAAACCCCTAAACCCCTAAACTAAACCCAAGGAGTGGATACCCAGAAGTCACCCTGGGGAAGCCCTGGGCTCCTCGAGAGGCACAGCCGAAGTCGCGAGAAGCGATTCCATTGTCCTAGCTCATGGTTGGGATACCCAGAGACTCCAATACCCCTTCAGTAAGGAAGATACCTTAAATCATATTAGGGATCCTATTATAATTTAAGGAATATTCCTTAATGAAGGAATGGATTAAGGGGTTCCTTTAAAGGGATCTATAAGGATACCCTTTAAGGGATCCATTATAGGGTTTTAGGGTTTAGGGCTGATGGACAAAATCCTGCATGACACTAAGGACTCTAAACTATGGGAACTATGGTATGTTCCTTCTTATGGGTAATGCAGGATTTTGTCCATCAGCAGTAGTATCAAAAAAACTATGTACCCATAGGCCCCGAAGTAGCTCCTTTTTGGGGTACATATATAGGATTCTATAAGGTAATCCCAAAAAGGAACCACTATGGGGCCTATGGGTAATATCAAAAAACTATGTAATCCTTTTCCTTCTGGGGTTTAAGCACCCATCAAACCCTAAACCCTAAACCCCATAACCATGCGAAATGTTGCTCAATTATGACAAAGCGTCGTGGACGGAAGATTTGTCCGACATGCGGCGACGCACGGGGGATGGCCTTGTGTCTTCGGGCTTAGGGGTTTAGGATTGCAGGGCTTTAGGGCTTTGCTTTAAGGAAAACATAGGGGACCCTAATAGAATGCCCTATATAGTAGGATCCTTACTATACGGACCCCTCAATAAGGTACCCCTTAGAAGCTGCCCCCACCCTGTAATAGTGACTGTAAGGATTATATTAGGGCCCTATTATATTCCTACTATACCACTAGAGCAGGATGGGGCCCCTTCTAAGGTTTAGGATAGAAGGGCTTCAGGACCTTGCTTGAAGGCTTTAGCCTTAAGCATACCTTAAGCCCTATAGCTAGATCCTCCTATCCGCTCAAGCCTAATTCAAACATAATCGTATCTAGACCTTTACTACTCTACTGTTAAGGAAATTGGGTGGTCCCGCAAAGCTTGCAAACAGTGGGACCCCGAGACCTCGACAACACACAAATCCCTGAACCCCCCAAATCCCTAAACCCTACATACCCTGAACACTGAAGCACCCTGAATCGAACCCTTACAGGAATCCTCGAGCACCCACTTCCTGGACCATGCAACCCGATAAAATCTCGAAGGAAGTGTTCAAACGAAAACTTACACAGGGTCCGGCAGAAACCAGCTTATGGCTCGAAGTGGCTCAGAGGTCCCTAAACCCTACCTTAAGGGATCATGGGACTTAGTAACCAGAGGGTTATACTTATGATCACTTATTACCCCAATGAAGGTACTTATAACCCTACTTACCAAGTCCCATGATCCTCCAAGTAAACCCTAAATCGAATCTTTCGGTTTAGGAAGTTAGGGGTCTCGGGTGACAGCTCCGGAGGCTGTGGTGCAGGCCTCAGAAGATAATGCGGAGTTATTTGCGTTGCTCCTTTACTCATATCCTGACCAACACCTTGGACCCTAAAACCGAAAAGAGTCTAAACCCCTGAACATCCCTAAACAAAAAATCAAGCCTGCAACCAAGAAATGTGAAAATCGTAACCCCCAAACCTATACTTATCTTACATCCCAAAATCTAAACCATTTTTAAAACCTGAGCCTGAACACCTAAAGCCCGAACATTCGATGTCTTCCAGAACCCTACTAACGCCCAAGCGTTTGATGTCTTCCAGAACCCTCTTCGCGACCCAATGTATTCAGCTAAAGCATGTCTTAGCACACAGACGGAGAGTTGCGGAAATCGTCCTAGCTTTCTTTCTGGTGCTAAGGCGCGCATGCACAGGGAACGCAGGGCCGCCCTCAAAACAAGAAAATGAACATTCTACGTTTCTGACAGCCGGTGCTTCGAGTTTGCGACCCCAGCTTCGAGTTAACCCTATGAGCCCCGAAACCCAAAATCCGCAGTAGGGGCATGAAATGTTAGAAGGGGGTTTGAAGGCATTGTTTGAGTCTAAGTAGATGATAGGGACTTTTACCGGCCGTTTATCACCAAAATGCAAGGGAGAGGAAGGGGTGTTCTCGAGATGCTGTGATTCCGTCTGCACTATAGGCGGATTCATCACATCTTGTTCAGACCCTGAATGCCAGTTTGAGGACTAAGGGCACCGTGGACAAGACATCCCGAGCCACTCGAACCTCATGACAGACCCCACTTGGAGGATCATGAGACTTAGTAAGTAGGGTTATAAGTACTTTAATTGGGGCTACAAGTAATCATAAGTACAGTTACCTCAATTATAACTATAACCCTAGTTACTAAGTCCCATGACCCTTTAAGCACATCACCAACCCGCAAATGTTGACTCCAAGCTGCGCAACTTTCGGCACTCCAAACTCACCACCTGGTGTTCTATAGCTGGAGGTGGGCTCTGGACTTGTGGAGACAGAGCAGGAAGTTCGGAAATTCAAGAGCACCAAGAGTCTCCAGAGTAACGATCCTACTTGTTGGGCTTCTCAATTACGGGGTTGTCTGGCTTCTCCACATCGTTTGCAGGATCTTGCAGGGAATAATGGCGTTGCCTGTGCCACTGCGGGTGATAATATAAATCCTGCAATACCCATAAGAAGGAATGTACCATCATTCCCATGGTTTAGGGTCCTTAAAGTAATGCAGGATTTATATCATCAACAGTAACAGTCTCCTGTCGAACAACCCCCCCAACGCCTAAACATTTGAATTGTAAGCCGCGAACCTCCTTTCCTTCCTAGCCTCCCTCTGGGGATTCAAGCGTTGAATAGGTTACGGGCCAACAAAGTATATACTGTCTGGGTACATGGCCCTTTCGGGTCATGCAAATGTCTAACCCCTAAGCCGTGACCCTGATCCTAAATCCCTTTCCTGCACATCAATTATGTCCAAAGAGCGCTCTGGCGTTAGCCTGTCGCTGAAGCAAGGAGAAGGCAATGCCACATGACTTGACATGCTGGCCGACCTGTTCGCTTTGGACACTGCTTGAATGAAAAGTTCCCCAGTTCTCGGATTAATTGGGATCTCTGTTTGAGTTTAAGTTCCCGTTTGAAGTTTCTAAACCCTACCTATAGTCTCCATTGTAGTTCCTTTTTGTGGTTACCTTATAAATTGGTTAAACCAAACAAAGGAAATACAATGCAGACTATAGGTAAACCCTAAACCCTAAACCCGGTTCTAAACCCTAAACCCTAAACCCGGTTCTAAACCCTAAACCCTAAACCCGGTTCTAAAGCCTAAACCCTAAACCCGGTTCTAAACCCTAAACCCTAAACCCGGCTCTAAAGCCTAAACCCTAAACCCGGTTCTAAAGCCTAAACCCTAAACCCGGTTCTAAACCCTAAACCCTAAACCCGGTTCTAAAGCCTAAACCCTAAACCCGGTTCTAAAGCCTAAACCCGGTTCTAAAGCCTAAACCCTAAACCCTAACCCGGCTGAAGTTTCAGGGTTCAGGGCTTCGCACCCGGGTTCCTGCTTGCTACTGACTCTCGGAAGGGTTTCAATTGGCGTTTTGAAAAAAAACGGGAGTTTCCCAAAATAGGGGACCCTAATATAGTACCCTAAATAGTAGGATCCTTATTATAGATTATAAGGACCCCAAATAAGGTATCCCTAATTTTCGGAGACTCCCAAATATCAGGCCTCAAACCCTCGCGCTCCCCAACCCCAGAGCCTCCATGTGGGAGTTTCCGAAAATTATGGGTACCTTATTTTGGGGTCCTTATAATAAGGATCCTAGTATTTATGGTACCATATTAGGGTCCCCTAATTTCGGAAATTCCCATGTACCCATATTAAAGGAACCCCTTCAGGGCCCAAGTATTATACTACATGACTATATATATATATATCATATATCATATATCATATAGTGATAAAGTATATTGCTTGGGCCTTGAAGGGGTTCCTTTCTCGGTACTTTTAAGCATTTAAGGTATAATACTTAGGCCTTAAATTGGGTCCTTTTTGGTTCCTTTCTTAGTACGTACTTCAACACATGCAAGGCCTAAGTGGATCCTACGTTGTCCAGGCACATGGAGCCTTAAGGATCAAGCCTGTGGTTTCAGGGTCCACGGCGCTTGGGATTTCAAGACACCGGGAGTTTCGCTGAAGGCTTTCATGGTTAAGGTATGTGCGATCGTTTAGCCGGCGCTTGGGGTTTTCAAGGTTTGATTATCGCAAACCCTTGTTCCCCTCAACCCTATAAACCCCGAACCTTAAGGTTGAACATGCTTTATCCTGTTCCATCAAAGGCTAGAAACTCTAAACCTGATAAGGTCTAGGATGGTCTACCTCATGCAAGCACCTGATGACTTGGACCCGTGATAGAGGTCGGAGAGGTGTGGAACGCATGAGTCTTAGGATGCCCAGTAACCTAGGAATAAAAAGGGCTCCCTTGTTGGTATTGGGTACCTTTATAAGGAACCTAGGACTACAGAAAGGGAATAAGGGTACTACTGGGCACCCATAGGCCCCATAATAGTTCCTTTCCGGGATTACATACCTTATAGATTTCTATATATGAACCCCAAAAAGGAACTAAATTGGGGCCTATAGAATCTGTGCTTCGAGCTGCAGAGGGATTCAAGGCGCCCTTCGGGCAAGGCATCTTCGGCTGGGACTCGGAACCCGGCTTGTTCACTATAGGGGCCTTGATAGTTACCGACACTATCTTGGGGGGGTTCCTTATTATAAATACAGTATAATGGCACCCAAAACCATGAACTCGAGGATTTGGGGTTATAGGTTTACGTTTCGGGCTTAGGGTGCCGCAGCGGGAGAAGTCCAAAACCCGGAGCCTACGGCTCTAAACCCCAAAGATGTGAGTGCGAATCCTGCGGATGAGTTTTAGATGCATGACTACCCAGAGGCCCCAAAGTAGTTCCTTTTTGGGGTTACCTTTTTGGATTCTATATATGAACCACAAAAAGGAACTACTTTGGGGCCTTAGGGTACGTCAAACATAGACGCTCTTGGTTTAGGCGAAGCTGCTTGTTTTTCGGCTTCAACATCTCTGGGAAGGACACCGCCAGCGGCGACAGCGGGTGAGGACTGCCTGCCGGGACTCGGGCGTGTAAGATCACTAGTGAGGCAAGAAGGCGGCTTGGAGCTTGAGGATTTGGGATTTCGGCTCTCTGGGTTCTTGTTGAAGAATTTTACATAAGTTACCATATCAGGGATCTGTAGTAAGCAATATGGCTTACTGACTATGGTAGCTTAATTTAAACAAATCCCTTAACAGGAACCCAGCTTTAGGTTCAGTGTTCGGGATGGTTGATGATAGAAGCATCTAAGCCGATTATCACATAAATCCCGGATGTCACCCTGACCCTCATCATCAACATGCGCACCAAGAGCATGATTTTGCAGTAAGCCTCACCGGTATCAAGCCTATCATAACCATTATGGCTATGATGAGCATGATGATCTTGGCCATGACATGATAATCACCATCGTCACCATCGACATCATAATAGTCAGATGTATCGTCTTCATATTCATCATCGTCGTCGAGTCATCATCATCATCATCATCGAATATCCTCGACATCCTCCTCCTCCTCCTCCTCCTCCTCCTCCTCCTCCTCCTCCTCCTCAACATCATCATCATCATCACCACCAGCAACAGCATCATCGTCGCCATTTCCGTCATCACTTTCACCATCTCCCTGATGGAAGCATGTTGTGGGTGATCGCGCCGACTACTATTACGTCTTTTGCGATGTCGCACAGCAGTCCGTACTGCAAGTCCGGCTAAGCAGCCAACAAATATAATCCGAAGATTGACGCACTTGTTCTTCTGGCGACAAAACGTCAACCTTCTGCAGTCAGCTTTAGCTTGGAGTGCCGTGATAGAGCAGGCGGCACTTTCAGACAGTCTTGTTCTGTGCGTCATATTTGGCGCCAGGGGTCCAGTCTAGTGCTCCTGTAGGAGGGGCCGCAGCCAGGTGTCACTCGATGGGCTCTACATGTTAGGGCTGAGGGTTTAGGGATCAAAGAACCCCAATTCTGCAAGACGGCGCATAGTAGCGCCCCTGTTGATCAAAACATGCCAAGCTCTAGGGCATGTTAAGCGACGTTTGGGCTTAGGCTTGGTCAAACTCGCACAGGGGTGGGGGCTTCCGAAAAGTAAGCTCCCCGTAATTGTGTTAACTGCCGAACCCTGTGTCCAAAACCTGAATAAACCCCAAAACCTTAATCCCGAACTCTAAATCCAGATCCAAACACGGAACGTTTCGGGTGCAGGGTGGGTTTAGTCTACAAAGGGCTTACTCCAGCCCTATACTTCAGCATCACATTTATGATAAAACCTTGTGCCCAAGGCCCTTGACCTTGACGGCAAGACATGAACTTCAACATGTGAAACAACCAATCTTGCACAGGGAGCTACGAGGGAGCATGTGGCTTGCGTAATCCTTTTGAAACCCTACAAAAACCAGATCTCAGATAGAACTCTTTTTCAAACCTATACAAGAACTAGGTTTAGGGTTGGAGTTGGGAGTCCATCCTCGAAGTGTATACATACGGGTTGGGCAGAGTTCAGTGGTCAGGCTTAGCTGAGGGCCTAGGGTGCAGGTTGGGTACTGCCCCCGATGCACAGTAGCACTCCATAAAGAAGACGGGTCTTCTAAATCTATGAACATTCAACTAACTAATGCTGAAGGGGGGGCAGTATCCATGGTTTAGGGTTTGTAGAACTGAGGGTTTCCCGAACATCTGAATCAAGTTCCGGAACAAACAACACACAAACGGATTGGACCAAGCCCCGTTTTGGTCGCAAACCACAAAGGCCTGCAGGTGGTGACGGGGTTGTAGAAGCATGCGCCGTCTGCGTGTGGATCGCTGGGTTTGCTACAGAGGTCCGACCAATTCATAAAACTATCCCTTCCTCGTATATACCTACAAAGCAAAATTCGAATATGATGCACGCCAAAACCCAGTTCTAGTATTTCAGGCCCTACATTGGACTTGTTTACGGTTGGACTGGGCCTGGCTAGGGCTATTCTGGGGTCTAGGGTTTCGGGGATTTAGGGCCTACGTTGTTGTGTTGGGTCCCTCTTAAGTCTTTCTTAGGAGTTGTAACAGAAACCTGGCAACAAGTAGATTCTGGCAGTTTTTTCTGGATCAGCGCTGGCTTCTGCTGCGGCTTGGGGGAGCTGCGTTCCCAACTCGAACCGGGAACCTTCAACGCCTTGGTTTAGAGCTTCTGGGGTTTAGGGGCTTAGAGTTGTTTACCTACCTTTGGCTACAAGGGAATGGAAGAATGGTAGTAATGGTAGTTATAATCCTACCCCATTCCTCCATTCCCTACTAACCAAAGGTAAGTTTAGGGGAAGGGCCCTGAACACCCTGAGGCTCCACCCTAAACACAGAGTGATGGGGCTGAAGCCTACGAGGTGTGGAGCCGACGCCTTCCAAGCTCGCTGTTGACCCTGAACCCTACCTGTAGCCGAAAAGACCTACCTTTTTAAGTAAATAAATATATATATATATATATATATATATATATATAGAAACCATAAAAAGGAACCCTAAAACGGTAGGTCTATTCGGCTACAGGTAATCCCTATAATCCTAATCCCGAAACCCTAACCCCTAAACCCTTCCAAGTTCGATGTTGCGTTGCTTTATTGTTGTTTGTCTGCTTCTGCTGCTCTGATGATGTCGAGCACTGATGCCTCGCTCAGAAGAGCTTTGGTTATTTCTGTTTTTCTGTTGAGCTCCTTTTCCCTCAGCACAGCTCTGTCGCGAAGGTTTAGGGTTTAATTTCCGGTTCCGGCCAATCGGGTGAGGTTTACAGCCAGCTGGCTTGGGTCAGGGTTCTGTCAGACCTCCGTCCTCCATGGAAATTTGTTCTTGAAATTAGGGTCCCAAAGGGTCCAACGACTAGTATCATTATGGTATATACCTAGGACATTTTAGGGATCTAAATATATACCATGATGATACTTGGACCCTTTGGGGGTGTCATTTTCTGCTAGCGGAATCAACGTATTTAGTATCCTCCTGGCCGACTGATACTCTAGCGAATCATCGAGGCTCTTGTAAAAAAAACAAGTGGAGATCGGAATACCTTTCTGTTTCTATCAGACGGCGATCTCCAGGTCCTGACAAACACGAACCCTGAAACAAACCTAAAAACAAACAAAAAGCTCACTGGGACGAAAAGGTCCCCACTGTAGCCAACACCAAACCTGCACGGGTGCAGATGCCTCAGAATCACATGCCCTCCTAGATTCTACCCATAAGTACTATAGCAGCCAAAACCAAACTCGAAGGGTCCATGTGCTGATATAGTATATACGTTGGCCTTCATGTAATCCCTATTTAGGTACTTTGGGGGCAAAGTATATGCTATATGGTTACATGGACCCTTAGGGAAGGTACTCCATTCACCCATGAAACCTTCGACCCGGAACCCTGGGCCCTAAACCCTAAACCCTACGCCTGAAACACTAGAAGCCCCAAACTCCAACGACACAGGGTGGAAGCCAGTCCTCGAGTAGGTTCCTTGCATGACTGTCCTGGCGGCTTTTGCGCATCTTTTCAGGGTTTCCAGGCACGTCCGCGGTGTAGACATAACGGGTTTAGGTTTGGGGGTTTGGGGGTTTGGGGTTTAGGATTTTGTATGGATTTTGTGCTTCGGGTTTAGAGCTTTGAAGGTTTGGGGTCTTACAAGGACCACGCAACGTACCCTTGATGAAATATGGTCCTTTTATGCTTTTTCAGGTTGTAGAACGTGTTTTCTCGGAGTATTTACCCATAGGCCCCAAGGTAGTTCCTTTTGAGGATTACCTTATAGAATTCTATATATGAACCCCCAAAAGGAACTAGTTTGGGGCCTATGGGTAACTTCTTGGGTTGCCAGGCTTTCGGGTGTGAGGCGCTAGCGCTTTCGCGCGCCGGGGCGTCGGGCCGATCGCAGTTGCGTGGACTCCGTGCAACCCAAAACCCTAAACCCTATAGACCCTAAACCCTAGAAACCCTAAACCCTATAAACCCTAAGCCCTATAAACCCTAAACCCAAAAAACCCTAAACCGTAAACGGCTCTGTCCCTGACCCATAGGCCCCATAGTAGTTCCTTTTGGGGACTACGTTATAGGATTCTATATACGAGCCCCCAAAAGGAACTACTTCATTGCCTATGGGTACACCCTTTCATGGCTAGGATCTTTTAGTCAGATTTAGACCCCGAGCTGTACCGGAGGCCGGAGGAGGCCTGGGCAGTGTCGAACAGCTCAATCTGCTCAGGATGGGAGGCCTAAAGGGGGTTTAAGATTCTTGGGGTAGGGATTCCTTATTATGAACCCAATTATGGGAACCCTAATCCCTACTAAACCCCTCTAGGCTAAAACCCTTTTGGCCTCCTATGAAAACCCTGAACAGTAGACAGACGCAGCCTGCGGCGCGTGCACGCGCATGTCGTTCATGTAGCCTCAGATAAGCGACGAGGCGCTTGCGGAGAAACTGTCGGGCTTCGGGTTTAGGGTACCCATAGGCCCCAAAGTAGTTCCTTTTTGGGGGTCATATATATAGAATTCTGTAAGGTAATCCCAAAAAGGAACTACTATGGGGCCTATGGGTACACTGAACCGTTATCACATAATCTGGATAGTGTTATTATGCGCAGTAACCTGCTACATACATAGCAGGGCTTCCAGATTCTACATACCGGGTTGCAGTGCCTGAAGACCCCGTATCTCGACGTGCCTTTAAATGTACGGGAACCAGAAAATCCGGTTTTCCAGAAACCGAGTACTCCAACTGACAGTCCATGGTCCTTCGATTACGGCACGGGGTCTCCGACCAAGCACCAACTAAACCCGAAAGCCAGAAAACTCAAACTCCAAACACTTAACCCAAAGGCGCAGGGAATATCTTCTCATTCTCCCCAAACCCTAAGGGTCCATGTGCCCATAGAGTATATGCTTTGGCCTTGAAGTAGTCATTTCGTATCGGTGCTTTAGGGCTAGATGAGGCTTATATATCTTATATGGGTACATGACCAGTTTAGGGAAACTTGAAGGGTTGGGTGCAGCCTCAGTAATTTCCAGCACGGGGGTTTCAGGAGATTCATCTTTAAGGTTCGTAAACCAACTGGTAGACCCTAAGGGTCCATGTAACCATATAGCATATACTTGGCCCCCAAAGTACCGAAATAGGAGTTACATTAAGGCCAACGTATATACTATATATGGGTACATGGACCCTTCGGGAAACCTAGAGCATCCCGAAGCCCTGAGCCCATCCTGGACCCCCGGCCCTAATTTCCCAACCCTCAACACAACTCAAAACCTCGAAGCCCCTCACCCCATGGATGAAAATCGAAACCGCCTGAACCCAGAGACCCTGAATCCGAGGGCACTTCATACCGACTAACTGCAAAAGAACGGCCTAATCACTGGGTCCTCTGCACCTTCCGGGCTAAACCCTAAACCCCGACGTTTCGACGACACGACAAAGCCATGCTCGACTGAACCCACGAGCCCGGTGTAAGCCACAGAGCACTGAATACACTGGAGGCTCTAGCTGCTTCATTTCTTTTTGTTTTTCAGCGCTCGTTTGGCGAGCTGATGGCTGCTTTGGTTTTATGGTTTCGGGTTTATGTACGGTGGAATGATTTTGACAGGTTTTCGGACTCAACTACTCTAGTATTTCTCGGCGTCGAGGCTATCTACTGCCTTTGGCTAAGTGTCTTGTATTATGCTGCTGCGCTTTTGAACAGTTTTGCCGGGTAGTTTACACTATTGGGTCACGTGCAGCTTCAGGCTTAAAGGCGCAGCGCGAATGGAACGAAAGGATCCATGTAGCTGAGCAGTATATACTTTGGCTGCATAGGTACGGTTCATGTATAGGTACTTGTAGGCCTGAAGGCCAGGGTAGAAACCACATTGGTACATGGACGCTTACTGGAAGGGAACCATCGTATTGAATATTGAGGCTCCTCTACTGAGCAACGCTCAACCCTACACAGAGCCTGGCATGAATTACATACCTTCTCTTGGATAACCTATTTTGTGCTCACAGTCCTATAAAAAGAGAACGACAAGAATTCACATCCACAGGTCAAGGTGTAATTCGAAGCTCCCTACTTGGAGGATCAGGGGACTTCACCCTGATGAGGGGCATGAGGACCCTAGTGCAAGTTACATATCTATAAACATGCAGCTACTCGTCCACGATCTTGAAAGATGAAGGGCCCTTCCAGCCTAAACCGTTGACCCAAACAAGGCTCCATAGCAAGTTGAGGAGCATTCCGCCAATCGGCGATGAAGCTCCCAGAACGACTCCGGACTGACACGCGGGCGTAGGTTTCAGGGTTTGGGGCTAAGCCCTAAGCCCTGAAGCTTAAACCCTTTGGGTGTAGGGTTCAGATTTTAAGATCCATAGGCCTTCATGTGGGCTACACAGTCTGCACTGTGGCCTTGAACTAAGGGTCCATGTACTCATCTAGTATATACATTGGCCTTAATGTAATCCCCATTTCGGTACTTTGGGGGCCAAGTATATGCTATATGGTTACATGGACCCTTAGGGTTAAAGGTCTTCGTATATAGCGACTGCAACTGCTCAAAGGATGCACGAAAGGTACGGGGGCCCTGGCTTTACGTTTGTGCTCAGGGTGTCAAGGTTCTGGGTTCGGTTGGGGCTTATGGTTGGCGAAGAGGGGCCTAATATACAGGGGCCTTACTAATTAGAATAGGGCTCCTTTAAGGGGTCCTTGAAGGGTTCTATAATTATAAGGGGTCATAGGGTTCTATAAGAAAGGGGCCTTAATACTTAGAATAGGGTTTTGTGGCCCTTTTATACTCGAAGCAGTATACAGAACCCCAACATAGTATTGGTAATTATGTGGGCCCCTATATTGAGCGATTCAGCCCTAAACCCCCACCCTCCAAACAAGGTCAACCCCGAAGACCTAAATCCAGCAGCCCGAAGACACTGAAATCATTTTAAAACCTGCAGAGGGCAACGACAAAAATCGGAAATATTTTAGCCTTGCTATTTCATGCTATCCATTGCTTCTGTACATACATCATATATCTGATTACCCATCTGTCTGTCGATCTATGAATCGATAAGGACCTGCTTTGGGTGGAAGGACGTTGGGTCTGTTGGGGTATAGCGGTATAACGTTTCGGGTTGCGGGCTTTGGGTCTACTGGAGTTTAGGGTCTTGGGGGAGGCGGGAAGGACTTTTGGGTTGTTGGGGCTTAGTGTTTGGCGGTTGGGGGCTTTGGGTTTTCTGGGGTTTAAGGTCTAGTCAGCCGTCCTAGATTCGAGCACCAAGGCGAACAGCCAAACACCTCTGCCAACCTCTGCTGCGTCTGGAGAAGCGCCCTAGACCCTGAACTCAAGACCCAACACCGAAGCTCGCACCTGCTAACTCCCTAGCCTCCCAATCACCCACTTTGTAGAGCTTGGGGCTTGACAGGATTTTAGGGACTTAGCAACTGGGCTGTGCTAAGGTACATGAAAACTATGGTGACAACCATTGTTGGGCAGCCCAACCCACCACTATGTCCCCTGATCCTCCAAGCAGGGCTGAGAGTTTAGCGGACCCACCTGGCATGTCTCGCTGCGGGAATCTCCGATTCTTCAGAGTCATTCTGTGCCAGCACTTGGGACGATCGGGACATGGCGTCTCGTGAAAGAGCTCTACCCTTTCAGAACCGATCGGCCGTCATGGGCCTCGAGCCGCATGATCTCGAGATCTATATAGGCTGTATCTTTGAACCTGCTTGTTGGCGGGGTCGTGTTGTAAACCCGATAACAACAAAGATGAGGCAAATTGAGGACTATATGTCATGTCAAGTTTACAGGGGTACTTTGGCACTGAATCGGAAAATGCACGGCTACATGTGTTCCAACAAATATGACTGCATGTAGGATAGTTGCTCGCTAAACAACGGTTCACCTGTCAACCCTATGCCCTTTAACCCTACATCCTATACCATCCACCACGCACCTTCATGACACCCGGAGCAGACAACCGGCCAGCTGAATCAGCAAACCAAACCCCAGAGACCAGCAAACTCTAAACCCTACTATAAAGCCCAGTTTGAGTTTTTGAGCACACAGCCGGCACCAACAAGAATCCTAAACCGATACCAAAGGCAGCGCTAAACCCGGAACTCCAAACTCTGCAAATTCTCTAAGCTTTGGAACTGATCCTCTTCAGCTACACCACGATGTCCGGACTCCTACACCGTACCGGCTCCAAATTTGTACTTAAACTTCAACATTCAATACGCCGAGCAACCCATAAACACTGAAGTCTCTTAGTAAAACCCCTTCCCCGACATGCCCGAGTAATCCTTACCAAGCCAGGCTTCTCGATCTTTCATTACCGGAAGACTTGAGCTCTACAACATCCAACCAAATAGGGATTGGGATTTCAAGTGTATGGAGTTGGCATTTAGGGCCTTTAGGGTTTAGGGCCGAAGACGTCGGGTTTAGGATTGAGGTTCAGGCCGGTTCAGGGGTTGTGATACCTGCATTCTTGAATTTAACGAACTTGGGCTCTGAAGGAGGCCAGTGACGAAGCCCGTCCAGGGAAGCCCAGCAAACTTATGTAGTAGTTTGCTGTCCCCATAGCACCACAGTACAGAAACCGATCATGACGGTGATGAGGCTTCTAGGGCCTTCTTCCTAGTTGGCCGAAACCCTGTGCCCCGCACACTAAATCACTGAACCATACTAAACCTAGACTCAAACCATGATATCTAGCCATAGCACCACATTCGCGGCGGCGGGGCGTTGCGATGCCAGTGCGAAGAGGAGGGCGAAGGCTAATCTGCGCTTGCTTTTCAGGGTTTTTTTTTTTGCATATAGGGTTTATAGAATCTTCGCTTTATGAGGGGTTTTGCTGTCTTGACCTGTGGTCCACTCACCTACAGCTTCAATGGTTGTACCGCATTGGAATTGTCCCCATTGCTGCTGGCACTTCCGTGGTCCGCCTATCGCACTTTCTTACACCCTCAGGGTTTACCCATACAGTATATACATTGGCCTTAATCTAGTCCCTATTTAGGTACTGTGGTGCCCGAGTTTATGCTATACGAGTACCTCGGCCCTTAGCTGGGCCTTCCGGGATCGCCCTTAAACCCCGGAACCCGGCCACGTAACAGCCATATACTTTCCCGGATCGCTGACCTATTCATACTACAATCCTAAACCAAAGTACCGAATTGTTTGGTCATCCGGTACTTGCATCATTTGGGGCTACGATTCAAGTTCGGACAAGGGTCGTTTAAGAAAAAGCAGCCCCAGGTGCAGTTAAGAAGCCGAAGGTTTTTGTGCGATGAACCAATGGTTGTCATGCCCAGCACAAGCGTACGAGCATTATGTTCCTATGCAAATCCTGAGTCCACGGAATCCAAACATAAGCGGTCCTGGTGCAAACCCTAAGTATATGTGTGTATATATATGTATATATATATATACTGTATATGAACTGACAGCAGATTACAAGGCAACGAACCTTGCGAAGCTCCCATATCGAAGGCCTCCAGTGGCGGCCCCTCCCAGCGACAGCGCCTTCCCAGGATTGGGTTATTGACTTCCTGTAGCCGAAAAGTCCTCCCTCTTTCAGGAACTACATGTAGAAACCATAATAAGGAACCCTAAACAGGTAGGTCTTTTCGGCTACAGGTTGGGTTCGTGTAGGGGCCGTAGTAATTTGAACAGGGTTTTGGGTCCCATTATGCTATAACTATAGTAAGGAACCCTGACAATAGTATAGGCAAATATTAAAGCCTCTATGTTAGGAGGTTGAATTTGGAAGCTCGAGGGCTTGGTGTTTAGGTTCCAGGGTTTGGAGCTTAAGCCGTAAAGTTTGTCAGCAGTCGCATCTTTCCGACTGGAGGACTCATGACCCTGCGCTACTGGGCATATGGCACTTCTTCCCTAAAAGCGGCTCCGTGGTTTTCGCCAAATCCGGGCTGAATTTGCAAGCTGCCTTTTTCGAGGAGCCCTGCAACTTTAGTGCTGAATACACTACCCTCACCGAGAAGATCACGGATTTAAAGCACACGCCGTTTGAAAGGTCTTTAACCAACAGCTTGCCCCAAGCCGTCCTCTTAACCTATTTAAACAACCAGGTCCAGAACCGTACATAACCTTGTCAAGAACCTTCATGATCTCTGCAACATCTTGTAACAACGTTAGCCACCACCTCTTACACAAGCCTAGATAACCCAATATCAGACCGATTTACATCCTTGTCGAACCGCATTAATGAGCATTTAAACCGTATGATGTCTCAATACACTCTTATGGAAAATGTTGAGAACCCTGGAAAAGGACTACGGTTGCTCCCTTGGCCCCCGTTGCCTATGGCAGCACTGGCAGCCACGGAATCCTCATCTCGGGAACGGGTGCTATAGGCCTTAAGAATCAAAAAGGAGATTTGGGGCCCAATATACTACACTTATAATAAGGAACCCTCACAATAGTATAGGTAATTATTCAGGCCACTATATTAAAAAGGTTTTCAAACTTGTGGCATCTGAGTTCAGGACCTGGTCGTGTTGAGTTTATCAGGTTTAAAACTTAGGTTTTAGCTTTGAAGCTCTTTATCAGCATTTGCGGGTACCGTTCCAAAACATCAGGAACACCAACACAGGAGCGAGCAGAAATTCACGAGTCAAGGCCTAAGGATGGGGGCTTATGGTTTAGGGTTTGATTTTATTAGCAAGTTTATGCTACGGCTACTCAGGGGCTATGCGAATCACTCGGCGTTCCGTATGACCATCCCTAAACAAAGCACCACCGCATGCTCAGGGACGAGTCACGAGCGGCTGGCGCCTCTCCTTTCGCTTGATTCCGGTTTCAAGGCTGTAGTAAAGCTCACGACTGTAACATCTTGCATACCCTAAACCTTACAACGTACGATTTTCTTCGTTCAGGATCGCAAGGTGTTTGGGTTCGGGCTCAAGATCTTCCCAATGTTTTTGGGCGCAGGGTCTTCTTGGATAGTCGGGAACCCATCGAATAGGTGTAGCGCGACGGCATTACGGCATCAACACAGATGCACATACCAAATGGACTTTCAGATGCGTAGGCCAAAACACGAAAAACAAACAAGCAACGAAGCAACTAGCATCTAGTAATATACATGTATTCGCTGATTGCTTCTTCTGTGCATTCATTCGTTCGTTCATGCGTTCATTCCTTCGTTGGTTCGTTCATTTCATTTCATGTATGTTTTTCTTTCGTTCATTCATTCATTCATCCATCCATTCATTCATTGATCCCTCCATTGCATTCCTTTCCGTTCCATTCCATTGCATTCCATTCCGTTCCATGCATTCATGCATGCATGCATTCATTCATCCGTTCCATGTCATTCCATTTCATGTCACTCCATTCTTTTGAATTTCATTTAATTAAATTTCACTCCATTCAATTTCATTCAGTTGTTGATTCATCCACCCATCCGTCCGTCCGTCCATCCATCCATCCATTAATTATTCATGTGTACATATATATATATATATGTATGCAGAGAAAATCTTACCAATGGTTAACAAAGCCCACACCTCCCACAAAAACCCTAAAATCCGAAGACTTCGCGGGCGGGTCGGGCTCCGTCAGCTTCCACAGCAGGCTCAGGGCAGCAGGCCACTTGCCCTCTCGGGCAAACCTGCTTGGCTTCGAGGGTTCAAGTTTTGGTTAGAGGTGGTCGAGGTTTGGGGTTGAGGGCTTTGGGCCATGATTGCCGAAAGACTCGAAGGTTTAGTGGGGTCGCCATGTTAAAATTTGTTTATTGTATACATATAAATACTAGCATTTCCTTGCATGGCTTGTTACTTATAAACTCGAATATATTTCCCCACATGTTTTAAAATCATTCAATATTTCTCGTTTGCAAAACAAAATGGCTGGTTCAACATAGACAGACAGATGGATAGACAGATAGATCACCACATAGGTAGATAGCTACTTAAATATTTCGATTGCTTGATTTCTGATGTTGTTCAAACATATACATCACAAACTATGACAAATGTATCCATAGTTCATAGATCTATATAGAAACCAATCGTTATGCACACAGGATCACAATCAGCAATACGATCTTTTTCTAAACACCCTCTGCACTAACACAAACATGGCTGCACCGGCCTTTGAACGGAGAGACACTTAACTGCATCGTGAAAGAACATTAAGCAGGATAGAAGGAACAACCCTGCAAATATACTCTCAATTCTGAGATTGGCTCTACACATGTTTTTGTATTTGGGCCATGAGAAATATGTAACACTCGAACTGTGAATCCTTTCGATAGAAGATACATTAATTCACGATATTTCGACACTGCTCGCCAACAAAAATGTATGGAAGCACAGAGCAGACAAATTACTTTTGTAGGTGTGCTGTAGAAATGAAATATATGTATATGTATGTATATGTATATATATATATATATATATATATATATATATAAGTCCAAGCTGCTCTGTTTCAGCCCTGGTGCTGCAAGCCCAGGTAGAGCTGGCAGGCTTCTTGTGGCGACCGGCATTTGCCAAGAACGTGGCCACCGTCGTCCATAGCCCACCAGCCCGGGTCCCCTCGGCCCAATTTCCGAAAAGAGGCTCTTGGAGGCAGCCTGTGCCAAACCTCCCGTTGCTGATGT